TTGAATTCTCACAATTGATGACCATGCTTGATAAAACTATAGTGGTAGCCTCGTGTTGCCATTTGGAATGGTAGGTATGACTGCTGTGGGTCTTTGATGTTGACGACATGCATGCAGCCTATAGCTGGATGTAATCATGCACACTTTCATCAATTTAATCATGCAGATGGCCACTTTTGTCATATAGCTAAAATTGCCTATGAGAAAATAAGCATATTAATCGGATGCTTCTATCTTAGACTCACATTGTAGTCTAAGAAGCTTTGAGGTGGCATGGTTCTTATAATTTACCTGAGTCATTTTCATGAACAAGGCTCACTAATTTTCAACATTAATGAAAAATTCTAAGTAAATATATTTTCATTAGTTTCATTTAAAATGACGCCTCATGGTGAACTCCTAAAACCACCAATCTTCATTCTTGTTGTTGATCTTTGATTTGATTGGGCTTGAGGTTACCCGTTGTAAATCTTTGATCCACCAGAAGATTCACCTTCATTTGTTTATCTTTGATTTAGAGCCATAGAGAAATTCTCTTCTTGTCATGTGCCGACCTTGAACTCAACAATTGTGTTCATGTTGTTGCCAAGAGAATATTATCATTATTATGCGAGAAACATTCATGTTGTCAACGTGCTCATGAAATTGTTTTTCACTGGAGATAAAATTAGGCCTACTGTACTTGAAGACTCTTTGATAAGAAAGGAAGCATGCTTGTTGCATTCTTTGTATATTCTAGAACCTGAGTTTCTAAAAGGGATGTCTTGTGTTTAAAATATATTCATAAGCTAAAATAAAATTAACTTGATTTTAAATAACTAAATACCACAATGTGGGTTTCCTTTTCTATAGTGTGATGTTGTAAGATGACCTACTATGTGAGCTACCTTGCTTACAAGGTATTGACACATCATTTCAAACTAATGGATTTTCATAAATCTATAAGGATGCGTTTGGGGTGGCTACTGTTTCTCAGGTGCTGTCCAAAAGCTGCTATTGGAAAAGCAGGGGTCTGTTTAGATAACCTGCTGTGCTGCAGCTATTTCTGACGATAAAAACTATTTTACCTTTATATATATGAGATATCAGAATAAGTGCAATTTTCAAAATATATACAACAAAAAGCTGCTATATATGAGATATCAGAATAAGTGCAATTTTCAAAATACTATGGAAAAGCAAGGATCTTTTTAGATAACCTGCTGTGCTGTAGCTATTTCTGAAGATAAAGACTATTTTTCCTTTATATATATATAATATATTAGAATAAGTGCAATTTTCAAAATAAATACAATAAAATAACGAAAACATATCCAACTATATAAAAAAAGTCAGTGGAGTCTAAAATTTCCTAATACATAAAATGCGATCAGTCATTTCATGTATATATCTATAATAAGGACCACTAAAATAACTAACATGCTTAAAATGATGTTTGTTTTCATGTCTTGATGATTTAACCTTCGGAATAATCTCCTCTCCACAACATCTCTCATCACCTAATCACTGTCTGGAGCGAACTCATCTGTGTCATCTTGCAATCTTGAGGTGTCCTGATTCTGGGACGAGTAAAATCTCCTTCCGTAACTGCTTTCCCTTTTTGATTGGTACTCAACACCTCTTGCCATGATGGCAGGACAGAACTCTCAAAGTATCTGATGATTTTGAACTCATGATTCCTGCGATTATAATACATTATGGCTTCAATTTGATAAAAAAAAGTAAATATAACAAAATTATTGAAAAATTTTAAAACATTTTACACCTAAAAATCCCCCCTATAGCTGAAATAAGATGTAGAAATGACACATTAAGAAAATCCTAATACAACGTGCTATAGAAAATGTAGAAAGTATACTTCTATCTATAAATCCACCGTATAGCTGAAATAAGAATCATCAACAAGAAGACAGTAGGTAATGCTGCATAATTACAATTGATGCATTTATCAAAGAATATGTGATCTCTTCTTTTAATTGGATCATCTCTTGACGCATCCCTCGGATTTGTTGTACTCGTTCGTACCATAGTCCTCATTCGGTAATGAATGTCCGACCGGATGTTTTAATTCTTTCTCAGGCATGCAGGTTGGATCTTCATCTAAGACCCTAAAATCAATTTCACTTTCGTATAAAATTTGGAGCGCTGTTGTTGCAACAACTATCTTTATTTAGGTATGCGACATATATCAGAGTATGACCTACTTTTTCTTCAATAAACCGAATGCTCTCTCGATAACACTCCACAATGACGAGTGTCTTTTATTGAAGTGTTCATTCTTACATCTAATTACTTGGTTGTTGTGCTCAAAATCAGGAATGTGATAACCTCTTGTTGGGAAATGGTTTTAAGAAACCTTGTTATAATGGATATCCAGAATCGTCGAGGTAATATTTTCCTGAATAATAAGATCATGAGTATATATCATAAAATCGAAAGATTCATGTATGCCTTAAATGTACTAACCTGAGGGAGGCATTTGAAACCTGTATTCACGTCAAGTTGTAAATTTGATAATTCGACTATCGTGAGCACTTTCTTCTCAGCAAGTCATCTCGAACGTAAAACACATAAAAATCACACACTGCTAAGATATTCTACGTAGCAGCCCCACACCATCCGATATATGTGATTTTTTCATCATTACCTACATGTGCATCGACATGTGTGCCAGCAATTGCTCCGATACAATCCTATTTAAAAAAATTGTTAGACCATTAAAATTTTTTTGTAATATAATAATGTTAGAACACAGAGATATCAATACCTTAAATAATGACATGCATCTCAGATCGCTATAGATTTCTCAATGTTTGTGCAAAAGCAGGTTTTAGGTGTTTGATAATGTTGGTAGCCTAGGGGTTTGACAATGTCTAGACAACTTCACTAAAAAGTTAACCCTGATATCAAAATACTTGCTAATCTATATAGTGTTGGAAACGCTAATAAGCAGCACAAATTGACTTATTGTATGACATGATAAAAAGTGTGATAGCTAGAGCTTCTCGTGGTGTAAATTGCAATGATCCATGCAAATCATATTTAGACTGCAATTCATCAAGCAAATTACAAAAATACTCTTAGCAAGTAAAACAAAATTACTTCAAGACAACAAACAAGTGAAAAAGAAGATTTCGAAGTGGAGCTTGGTGAGATCAAGTTATCAAGGAAGACTCCATCCAGGTTCACCAATTGTGTCATTTAGGTTTTAAGACCAGGTAGTATCTGTGAAAAACTTCGGCATGAGTGATGTAATATCGGGTAATATTTATGTTAAATATTTTGAGTCAATTATTGAATTCACAATTGATGATCTGTTGAGTCATTTGTTTTGTTTTTTTATCATTCCTCTACAAAGCATTTCAAAAAATGAAATGCATCACCGATAAAGTCTTCAAAACCATCAGAGCAAGCAACTAATTGCACAAACACAAAAAATTTTAGGTCCACAAAGCCATCAAATAAATTGCAAGAGCCAAACCAACATCACATAGTATCAATACATATCAAACATTGAATTTTTTTTTTAACATCCAAACTTGCTCAACAAAGTTATCACCTTTTACTTTCCTTCTGTTTAATTAGGAACAATTATTCATGGAAAGGTATATGTGCATTGCTATTTATGTTCAAACTTTCTATTGAAACTATGACATATATTAAAGTTATGATGTTAGATGAGTAATTTTGTTTCTGGAAAGAATTATGTATACATGTGGTTCATTTGACATAACAATAATCTCTTTTTTTTCCTCTGCTTTCTTGAGAAATTGCATTGATCAGATGGAAATTTGGAAGTTCAGCTGATAGATAAGTTAGATAAAATGAATTATAGTAATTGCATTTTATAGTCTCTGCTTCAAACGAAAAAAATATTTTCTGGAGAAAATTATGATTATTGTTTATTTTTTTTAAAAAATTACCATTGGGAAAGCCTTTATTCTGTTGCAAACATGAAGTTCAGATGTTAGATAAGTTATTACTTTTAACTTTTCTCTTGTTTAATCATGCATCTAAAGTTCAAAGTACATCTCGGTAAAGAACATGATATTCAAAATAGGGTCGATAAATAGCCAATACAGTGTCCCGAACACATCTTTAGAGCTCAGAGAGATCTCTTAATCAAAGAGGGGTCCATCCTTAATCACCTTTTTTTATCATTTAGGCTTCAAGGCCAACGTAGTATTTTTGATAAACAATTAAAAAAATATGTGAACTAAGACCAGGTAGCATCTGTGACAAACACTCATACGTGTGATCTAAAAATAGGTAATATCTGTGACAATTTTTTTTTTTTTCAAATTTATAATTGACAATTGGTTACCGATTGAGCCTTTTGATAGTTTTTTTCTATCATTGCTCTAAATAATATTTCAAATATGAAATGCCTTGCGGACAATGACACTCATCTTACCAATTACCAATTTGTCAATTTGTTAGCTGACTCCTTTCCTAAAACTAGAGGCAGAGGCGGGGCAAAATTGGGTCGCTCTCTAGCTACCTGATACTACTTGTTTTGACAATTTTGGTTTTTTTAGGCTCTCATGTATCTTTTTGTATTTTCCTTTTTTGGAACCATTTGCATGTGATGTTTACCATGTGGGTAGGGTGTCATGATTGGGCCTTCTCATACAATCTATCTGCATCTTTCTTTCTTTTTTAATATATGAGTCCTTCGGTTTTTTCAAAAAAAAATGTATATATATATATATATATACACACAATATTCAAAACAATGAGGCTTACGCCTATCACTCAGGAAAAGAAAATTCCTCAATATCCAACTGCATAATTTTAAACATCGGTTATTCTGTTCCATATAAGCTAGTCAGGAGATCCTAAGCAAATGGTAGCAAAGCATAAGCAGCTTATCAGATGATATTGTAGGAAAACTGTCGTCGTTTATTTCAGAACCAAGAAAATACTCTAATAAGGTCTGCATAGCTATAAATCTACTGAAGATATTTCCCCTGTTTTGCCCTTTTTTTTGTATTTAACAGCTTCACAAACTGTCAAGAAAATTATTGAGATAAACCCATACATGATTGGTACAATGGCCGGTGGAGCTGCAGACTGTCAATTTTGGCATAGAAACTTGGGGATCAAGGTGTGTGTGTTTGGTTCTGTATATTTGATTATGCCATGATGCACCTTGAAAGCTGTTTTTTTCTTCAGAATTGAAAACCATATGCCAATTGAAAAGAGGGAAATCTGTTAATCTTTCCTATGAATTTGTTTCATTCTTGTTGTTCAGTGCCGTCTTCATGAACTTGCAAACAAAAGAAGGATTTCAGTGACAGGTGCTTCTAAGCTTTTGGCAAATATTCTCTACTCGTATCGTGGAATGGGCCTCTCAGTTGGTACAATGATTGCTGGATGGGATGAAACGGTGATGCATTTGTGCTTATGCTAATGCTCAGTTTTTATCTTCTTTCTGATATGTGCTTTTATGTGTTACTTAGGGCCCAGGATTATACTATGTGGACAGTGAAGGTGGCAGACTGAAAGGAAAACGATTCTCTGTTGGATCTGGTTCACCATATGCCTATGGGGTGCTTGACAGTGGGTAAGAAATTCTATAAATGCTTGATCAAAACTATTTCTAAAGCCAATGGATTCTGTTTTTTGATTTATTTGTCGCATCAGATATCGATTCGACTTGTCAATTGAAGAAGCAGCAGAACTTGCTCGTCGTGCGATTTATCATGCTACTTTTCGTGATGGAGCGAGTGGTGGAGTTGCTAGCGGTATGCTTTATTTCTGCAATTCTCAACTTTCAGCTTTAATCCCATGAAGCTATAAATTAGGATTTATTTTCTTTCTGCCTTTTACCCTAAGCCGGTCCTTGTTATGCATTTTTGTTACTGTGTTTGCATCTCTAATTGTAAGGTGCATTTTCGATGCAAGGAAATTGGGTGGTGTTTGGCTGTCACTTAATTTTCCTTTAAAAATAGGATTTAACAAATCCGATAAATCTGAATTTATCAAATCCGCACTATAACGGAACAGATCAGGAGAGATTGCAGAATAAATCCCTTACAATCGGATTTATTAAATCCGTATTTACTTCGTAAAAATGACAGAACACGAGAAGAAAAAGATAAAATATAGGAAAATTGGATTTAACATAGCATTGGTTTAATTTATTATTTATATTTGGTGTTTGGTTGGCTAAGATAAATTCACGATTAACTTCTATAAATATTATGCTACCAAATACCGTCTGGATATGGAAAAATTATTGCATACGGTGACCATATGCAGAGTTGCATGTGGTCGCCCAATTAAAATCACCCTTATCCCAAAAAAAGTGTATGGCAGTAGACCCAATTTTAAAAATTTAAAAATTTTTAAAATTGATGTTAATTATGTGGCGTGAAATAATTGGAGGCCATGCATACGGCCTCCATATGCATATGCAACAAGCGCTCCTTGATATCCTTTACCAGTTCAGAAAATAAAAATGTACCAGGAAACCATGGAAAGGGTTTTGGTTGCACTGTTGCTCATCTTTCTTCTATGTTGTAGTTTACTATGTTGGACCTGATGGTTGGAAAAAGCTTTCTGGGGATGATGTTGGCGAGCTGCACTACAAGTATTATCCAATTGCCACCCCCTCTGTGGAGCAGGAGATGGCCGAAGCACCAGTTGCTTAGGTTCCACTTCTAGCTAATGCTGCTCTCACTGGAACTTTGGAAATGTTGCACATTTTGAAAATTGAGACTATCAGAAACTTTTGTGGTCCATGTCTTCTACGATTTAATGCTCAAATTCCTTTTTATGACATTTACATCAGTTGAAAGTTCAACAAAACATGAATTTTACGTATGAAGCTACAATTTAAATTTGTTGCAGGGTAGCCTTTTTCTTTTTAGCATTTTCATTTTTTTTATACTTAATTTTAAAGCAAATTAAATGTAAAGTAAAATTTTTAAAAATTTTAAATAGCTTAAAGTTCATGTTTTACTGCATTTAAAAATATGTAAATAAAATAAGTTTTAAATTATGTGCTATGGTCACTCGTTCATCATGCCATGGGAAAAAATTTGCGTACGTAAGACGTACGCAGAGTTGCGTACGTCTATAATCTACAAATAGGTTACAGGGAGGGTATTGGGGAGTTATAATCGCATTATATCTCCTGTAACATTCATTTAACTTACTGTAACTTACAAATAAATGAAAATAGAAGCGCGAAACTTATTATAAGGTATAGGTAGGTGAAACTTATTATAAGGTATAGGGAGGTTATAGGTGGTATAACGCGGTTATAACCTCTCAATACCCTCCCTGTAACTTATTTGTAGGTTACAGGCGTATGCAGCTCTGAGTATGTCTTACGAACACAAATTTTTTGGGGTCATTCTTCACTTGCCACCGCCTATTATAAATTATTTTTGCTTGGAATCTGGTCATATTTCAATGCATGCAGGAACAGAAAGACAAAAACAAAATCTATTTTAATATATTTTATTTTTGTTCTGTTAAATCATTTATATTTTTATGTCTGTATTTTAGTTATTTTTAATATTTTAAAACATCCAACAATTTAGACTCTTAATGTCATTTGTATCTTAAGAAGTTCCAAACAAATCTTAAGGGTCTGTTTGAGACAGTGGCATCTTCTGTTGATGAGCGGCTGATTCGAATAAACTGTCTGACTGTTTGGTTTGTGCGTTTGGAAAACAACTGATTCCGGATAAATGACTATTATGCCCCTGTTTTGGATAAACTGTTTGGTTTGTGTGTTTCGAAAACAGCTGATTTGCAATTAATATTTCAAATAAGAGGAAATATCACTTGTAAATATTATAAATAAAGCTTATTTTCAGCTCATTTGAAAGATTTTTTCTATAAATGAAAGATCTCTGAAGAAATGTTTAACAACAATTTACCTAGATGATCGTGTTGATGCATACAACAATAGTAATTGTGTCACTCATCATCCTTTTTAGATGGGACAACAGGAGAAGTATGTCTTGAAATTCTACCTTGATGTGATAATCAATATGCTCAAGGAACTTTGCTCAATTGCACAGACAAAGCATGGATCAACCATAAGCTTCCAAAGACAAGCAATATGAAGAATTCACAGACAAAGTATGGATCAAATATCTTAACTTTGCTCAATTGCTCGTTTTTGTCTACATATTGAAGTATGATATTTTCATATTTTACTTCAACATCTTGTCTCATATTTTTCATAATGAAGTATGAAAATTTATCAATTGAAAGGGGCAATTACATAAAGACCTTAACATTTCCTACAACCTTAACATTTCCTACAGGTCATACAGTGAAAAAAAAATGCTTGGATCTTACATTTAACAAAGGTCAATTACATAGACACCAACCATTTATAAATCTAGCACCTAAATAGACTCTACAAAATGCTATGATACAGGGAGGTCATATAGTGAAAGAAGATCCGATTGAGAAGATCTTTAAAATATGATCGACAAGATCCGATAAAAAAAAAGGTAAGATCTTACATTCAAATAATTGCTAAGATATGCTTAACGACAACAACAAAAAAATGTGTAGAGTTCTGAGCACAGAAAAAGGGCGCAGGTTCAGTTTTCTTATTGCATACCCACCATCGCAAAGTCCCAGCTCGTTTCAGGGTGTGGCCACCGAAATTATTCACGACCTAGGATGTGGTGCATTGCTTGCCTGTGTAACCTTCCTCCATACATTCCGCTACAATCACCATAGGGATCTTAACCAGAATGAAGAAGAAGATGCTTCGAAGAAGAAGAAAATGCTAGCTCGGATCTTAACCAGAAGGTACCTCTTTCCACCTGAAGAAAAAGATGCAGGGAGCACTTGTCGTTATTCGTCGGGATCTGTTGCAGAGTCAAAGAACGAAATCGAGTTAAGCTTTTCTCTTCGATCTGTTGCAGTGTCCAAAGCAGCAAGGAGCACCTCTGTGAGATGCAACAAATGTCTGCAAGACGCACGAAAGTCGAAGAAGAAGGGAGCACCTCTGCGATCGCAAACGAAGAAGAAGGATGCCGAATCCGGAGGGGTAGCGGGGTAATTCAGGAGAAAACGCCATAAGGGAAAGCCGCCCGCAGGGATGATCCCACGGGCGACGTTCTTCGTAAAATAAAAACCACCGTTTTGGAGAAGCGATTAAAACACGTTAACCAAACAGCAAGGTGGCGTTTTCAAAACGACGCCCGCTGTTTTAAGCTGCCCCAAACGGGCCCTTAGTGATTTATTTCCCAAAGTCTTGTCCCAGTAAGGAGTGCCAAAGAGCCTTTTTTAGGCCTTGACCCATTTTTTTGTTCTAAAGTTGCTTTTTAAAGGAATTCTTATGAAAGGAACGGGTTGTTTCAAAAACTTTTTAAATTACTTTTTAGTTTCACTGGCTGTAATTTTTTCATTTTTAAAGTTTGTTTGGCTGTAATATTTTCTTAAAGAGTATTTCCGTAAGGCTTCGTTTGAGAACACTGTGAGTCTCCTTTGTGTTTTCGTGCATGCTGATCTGAAGAAAAGTTTCGTTTGGCGAACGAGCGTTTTTTGAACTTTTTCTGAAGCTCTCTTACAGGTACAATAATTTGTTGAATGATAAATTTAAACTCATGAATTTTTTGCTCTAATTTGTTGAATGCATTCTTGGCACTGGAAAATGAAATCTCATTGAATAAATGCTATCAAATTAGTCCATATTCTTTAGGTTAAAAATTTAATTGAAAAAAAGGTTTTTACTGTTGAATATGCTCACATTATAATGAACAATAAATTCAATGTATAATCTTAAGAGCTCGTATTCATTCAACAATCATTCACAACATAACAAACAAATTGAGATAGAACTGCAAAGTATATGAACTACTTTTAAATTACACTTCAACTTTCAAGAGTAATTAGGGGAAAGTGGCATGAAACTCCTCCCCTCAAGTAGTAATGAAGCTAAAGTTTAAAAAGCGAGGTGCATTTTGGTGTAATGGTTATAATTCAAAGTTAAGTGTGTTGAGCGCTCTTAGCAATGGTGACCTCCCGAGAAGTTACACCAATGAGGCAAAACATGAGGCCAATGCAGACAACTTCTTGATAAACCAGTGCTCAGGCTTTTACAGGTAAGTCCTTAGCCCCACTACGAAAGCCAAGAAATATATAGCTCGTGATAGGGATAAAAAAATCAAGATAATTTTTGCTCGTTTTGTTGCTTGGAATCGAAAGTTATGATTTTGCAAAAAATTGGAATTTGTGTAATTTGATTGAAACTAAGTACAAATCTACAAAAAAAAGTTAAAATCAATAAAACTTCAAAAAAAAATTTTATCAATGATGATTTCATAATCTCATTTAAAACGAATAAAAATATTATTATTATTTAAACAAATTTTTTTTTTCCAAACAATATAACGAGCCCTTAAATTTGGAGACCTGACTCAAACTCAAAGACATCATCTTCTTTAAGTTTGATGCAATCTAAAGTGCATTTATATGCCAAACTAAAGATTAAAGTCAGCGTAATTGACTTCCTCTCAAGTTGCAAGGGAGAAATTCAACTTTTTGGAATGTTGCAGCTTAAATCACAGAACCTTTTAACAACCTTAACATATCTAGAGTTTTTCAAAGCTGTATAGTCATTTAGAAGTGGACTAATATCTCAACTTGCATCAAACTTGACTTCAAGTTACCGAGAATAGCCGAAGTTAAAATGATATTGAAATGGTCAAAGATACTAAGAGAACTTCTTGTATTACCTTTTGTGTGTGTGTGCGCGCGCGTGTGCGTAGTTGGTCAAAGATACTAATAAATTCATGAAACAAACAAAAAAGTAAAGTTAAAAAATTATAAAAATATATGTACACACAAGATACACTAAGAATAGAACTTACCAAGATGAACCGAAAAGGACCCACTAGTATGGGAGCACTAAGAGCATAACAACCAAGCCCCCATGAGAGATTACTAATCGGGTATGATGCATGTTAAGCAATTATCAAAAGCAAACTTATCAAGGTAACACAGAAAAATACACACAAGTTAGGCCTAAGAGGTACTTGTTTAATGGGTTTAATAAACATTTACTCTCTAGGAAGATGATGGAGCAACTAGCCAAGTACAATCTAGGATCATCCGTCAAGCTTACAAAAGACTTGCTTATAAACATTTTTACCAAGACATTCACCCTTAGTGACTTCTACCAGAATCACTCCCATCTCTAGTTCAAATAATATATTAATAGTTTGAGTCTAAGTTCATACTTAAGTTAGTTAACACACACACACACACACAAGTTAATGCGCGCGTGTGCGCACACACACATGCACACACATACACAAGTTAATACACACACGCACACACATAACGAATTGATAATATTTTATGCAGTTCTCATCAATCTTCATATATTATGGGGTCGTGGAGATAATCGTTGTAACTTACTCTTGGGTTTCTTATGAAAAATTATTATTTATCGAGTTTGATTGCATATTTTTCTCTTCTCATATAGCTTTTTCTCTACTTATCTCTCTTATACCATTTTTTCCCGTGTTCGGTAGAGTACCAGCATAACCTATATACATAAAAACAACTTTTCAACATCTTAAAAAGGGTGGTGAGTAGGGATCCATGCCATGAACTAGAAAAATCAAATGCAAAATTCTATATAAGCTGATAAAATGAAACCCTTGATAGTGAAGTTCTTGTAAACTTGAAAAACAAAACTTTTGTCATCAAAAGGCATCAAGAAAAAAGAATAAATAGAATGACTAAAAAGTTCAAGATCAAATCCCAAGAATTACCCTTACAATACAATTGCTTAAAGAGTTTATAGTCTCAATAACAAATAAGAGAAACATTGTGTCTGAAGCTCCATTATCCCTACATGCTACTAAGATTCTAAGGAAGATGACTCACCAACTAAACATTACCAATTAGAAGGGAGATTAGAGAGAATGGAACCCAAATTGATCAATGCTTTTTTCAGAGATATTACAAATGTTAAGTGACCTGCAAGTTTAAAACTCTGTCCATGGACTATTATAGAGGTTAAATTCATCAAACTAAACACATTGCATATTTTGAATCTATCATTTTACTAATTTAGGTGCCTTTTTGATTATATTAATATGATCTTTTTGTATTTCTCCTCTCCAAATCTCCTTGTTATGGTAAGGAAAG